GTCCCCTTCCCACCGGGAAGGGAAAAAGGGAGGATTTAACATGTCATTTACAAGGCATTCAGGGCTCTGCGGCTGCCGCAGGAGCCGGGAGAGGAGTTCCGCAGGGAGGGAATGAGGCAGCGCAGACAAAAGGTGTCAGAGCATGGGCTCTGCTCGTGGACCAAAGGAGCCAGGTAGGAGCACCTCCAGGAGCACCTCCAGAACATCTCCAGAGCACCTCCAGAAGCATCTCCAGGAGCACCTCCAGAACATCTCCAGAGCACCTCCAGAGCACCTCCAGGACCTCTCCAGAGCACCCCCAGGAGCATCTCCAGGAGCACCTCCAGAGGACCCCCAGGAGCACCTCCAGAGGACCCCCAGGAGCACCTCCAGAGCACCTCCCATATCCATGGGCTCCCTTCGCTGTCAGAACAGGGCTCCACAGCCAGACCCTGTGATCCAGGAGCCAGGAAGGAGCCAGGCTCGCTCAAAGCAGAATTAGGAATTAAGGCTCTGGCTGCAAGGACTGAGCTGGTTCCTGGACTCCCTGGGATCAGCCCGGGGTTCCCAGGTCCCTGAAAGGCTGGGAAAACAAAAGCCAAGCGATTTGGACTTTTAAAGGCGCTTTCAGCTGCAGCTTTTTCAGGATTGAAGCCATCAAAGGGAAAGGAGGGAGGAAGTTCCTTTCACAGCCGAGTCACCGGTTCAAGCACAGGAAGGAAGGGACACAAACAGTTTCTGAGGGATCTCGGGGGGCTGGGAATGCCACTGGCTTATCCTAAATGTTGCTGGGAAGGGATGGAGAGCAGGATGATACATTTTAAAGGTAATACACACACAGGGAATAAAGGCAGAACAACAGCCACAGTGGCTCAGCCAAATCTTCACCCAGCCCCTCTTTCCTACAACAATCATCCTATGGGCAAGGTGAGGGAAAATTGAAGCTGAGCCGAACATTTCTTGTGTTCCCACAACTCTTCTCCTGGGAATCCACAGCTCAGGGACTGCACGAGATGGTGGTGGCCTTATCTTCCACAGGCTTGTCCCCTTCTGCCATCGAGTCCCCCTCCTAGAGCCACACGATCGATCCCTCAGCAGTGATCACTTGTGGTTCCAAAGAGCTGCTGGCCCTTCTCCCCTCAGCCAGGCGATCCTCCCCTCAGGATATGGGTGTCATGGAAATATTGGGAGCAACAGACCCCTCCCAAATATCCACCGCACCAAAACGTTCCAAGTGTTTCCCAGATGTATTCCATGTGCCACATAAACCAGAGGAGATGGCAAAGGGCTGTAGGGGGACACCCCTGGGGCAGAGAGCAGGGAGGTGACAGTGGCACCAAGTTCAGCTGGAAGTGGGAACTGAGATCCAGTCCGTTTATTAAGGACCTGATGAGGATCCAGTCTTATTTAACACATTTATTAGTGATGGGATGAGGATCCAGTCCAACTAATTAACAGTGGGATGAGGATCCAGTCCTATTTAATAATGACAGAGATGAGGCTCCAGTCCCACTTAAAACATTTATTAATGACAGGGATGAGGCTCCAGTCCCACTTAAAACATTTATTAATGACAGGATGAGGATCCAGCCACATTAATTAGCAGTGGGACAGTGCTCCAGTCCCATTTAATGCTTTTACTGTTGTGATGGGATGTTTAATGATGAGATGAAATTCCATCCCAACTAACAATGGGATGAGGCTTCATTCCCATTTAACACCTTTATTACCGACGAGGATATGGATCCAGACCCGTTTAACACCATTATCAACAACGGGATGAGGATCCCGTCCCATTTAGCACCTTTATTAACGACAGCGATGAGGAACCAGTCCCATGTAACACCTTTATTATGACAGGACGAGACTCCAGTGAGGGACTGGAGTTAATGAATGATTGGACGCGGGTCCATCCCCACTAATTAACGCCGGGACGCGGGTCCCTGCCGTTAATTAATCTCGGTCGGCCCCGGGTCCCTCCGGTTAATGGCGGCCGGCCGGGCCCCTGAGGGGCGGCAATGGCGGCCGGGGCTCGCGCCCCCCCCCCCCCCAGCAGGCGGTGCCCCCGCGCGGCGCATGCGCGGTGTGGCCTGCGCCGCGGCCCCTCAGCGCCGCCCGCCATGTTCGCGGAGCTCAACGAGCTGCTCGGGGCGTCCCCGCAGCGCCCGGAGCCGGTGAGAGCGCGCCCAGGGGGCGGCCAGGGGGCGGGAGGGACCGGCCGGAGCTGCTGGGAGCGGCGGGGCACGCCGGGAGGGGCGCGGCCTCAGGCGGCGGCCGCGGCCGATGCCGGAGCTGAGCGGCCGCTGGCGCTCCCCTCGCTCGGTGCCGGCTCCCCGTCGCCCCTCACGGCTCTGGCTCCGGTACCGGCGGCCGGCACGTGCTCCCGCGGTGTGTCCCGTGCGTGGTCGCTGCTGTGTGGTGAATAACAGCATAGCTGTGGTTCAGAGGCGCTGCCCCATGCTGCCCTGGGCCAGGGGTGTTCTAGAGGTTCATGTTCTTCAGGGCACCACATTAATTTAGTTCGTTCAGGCAGGTTTTGTGCTAATGAAGTTACGCTAGAACTAAGCACCCTCACCCTGTGAGATAACCGTGCAGGTAAAATGGTCATCATAGAATCACAGAGTGTCTTGGGTTGGAAGGGACCGTGAGGATCACCGGGTGCCACCCCTGCCACGGGCAGGGACACCTTCCACTATCCCGGCTTGCTCCAAGCCCCGTCCAGCCTGGCCTTTGGCATTTCCAGGGATCCAGGGGCAGCCACAGCTTCTCTGGGAAATCCATTCCAGTCCCTCCCCACCCTCACAGTCAACAATTCCTTCCCAATATCCCATCTAAATCTCTACTTTTCCAATGGGAAGCCATTCCCCTTGTCCTGTCCCCCCAGTCCCTCTCCAGCTCTCCTGGAGCCCCTTTAGGCCCTGCCAGGGGCTCTCAGGTCTCCCTGGATCCTTCTCTTCTCCAGGGGAACCCCCCAGCTGTCCCAGCCTGGCTCCAGAGCAGAGGGATCCAGCCCTGGGAGCAGCTCCGGGGCCTCCTCTGGACTCTCTGCAGCAGCTCCACGTCCTCC